GGCCATATGTGGGAAAACTTCCCTGCATCCTAGATGTAAAAGCGGATGTCTTAGAAGAAAATAAATGTCTGGTGTGTTTTAGTGAATGTACTCTGGGCTACTGTTGCATGAGACCTTTGCTTTTTTCGTCCTTTAAGAGAAAGATTTGCTTTTCGCAGAAATACAAATTGCATTTTGGCTATACACTTCCCAATTTAATTAATTCAACAAGCTTTGTCTCCAGAAAGCAAGCAGGATTGATTTGGCTTATCACACAGTGTGGCTGACTCAAACTGGTCAAATAGTGATCACTGTCTTGGGTGCCTTGGCAGGTGTCTGGTAAACTCAATAAGGGAGTGAGATTTGTTTCCTGTGAGTCTTGCCAAGAACAGTCATTCCAAAACAGAGTAGTAAATGCCCTGCGAATGTTTTAATATCAGAATTAAAACTTAAATTCTCTTTCAGCTCTTCAAGGCATTTTCTAACCCAGCTAATGATAACAGAGCTAATGGAAAAATATCAACATGTTAGTGCTTGTTTGAACTTACAGCTTACAGTTACAGCTTGAAACTTTTATAAATTGGTGTTGATAAGAACACAAACCAGGCTTTCAGATGAAAACAATCCTACATACTGTCTTATTATTCCAAATGCCATATGAATCCATCTGTTAATATTGTGAGAAATTTGTGTCTCTGTACTAAAATTGGAATTTGATGGGGCTATGGATCTAGTTATGGCTGTCTATCAGTTGGACTAAAAGAGCATTACTCTTGGCTGATTCCTGCCAACTGGAATCAGATTTTCTCCTCTGGGCTCAGTTGTTATCATTAAATTTAAAATGCATATTTATAATATTTTGTGCAGACTACCCACGCTTTTAGTACTGACTTTTTGCAGTATTTGTCTTCCCTGAAATGGTAATTCCAAGTATATCCCTAAATGACTGGCAAAGCTGTTGAATGGACTGATTGCATCAGCCATTGTGAATGAACTTCCCATTTTAGACCAGGAATTTCTGGGGTCAGACCATTCACAATGAAAGAGATTCTTGCTCATTTTGCTGCCTGAGGAATCCGGTGGCAGTCGAGAGTTTGAATTGTAAATCAAGCCTGTCATCTCCTTGTCAACGGTGGAAACCTCAGCTCACTTTGTACATCATTAGGATTTGTTATCAGGATTTCTGTTGCTTTCCAAAAATTTAAGACTTGTGTGGCATTTGTTTTAGTTGAGTATTTAATCTGAATTTGGGAAAAGGGAATAGAAAATAGTGCTATTATAGACCATTGAATGACGAGAATCTGTTACAATTATGACCAATTCTATTCAAAGTTACAGAACCACTCCATGTTTTCTAAAGGGTAGTCTCTGGGCCTCATACATGGCCTACATGTGTCTAGGTGACAATTTTCATAGTTTCAATGTCTATGTCAGTATCAAGATAATAAATTAGTATCTTTTCATGTGAGATTTAATGAAAGCTAGCTTACCCCGTTATGTTCATTAAAAGCAGCCTTGACTCTCTCCCAGGAAGTTGGGGGAGGCCTGTTTTCAGACCATCACTGAAACCAGATAGAATAAATGGCTCAGATAATCTCTTGCCTCTGAAAACTTTAGGCAAAAAAAAAGGTGTTTTTTTTTGTTTTTTGTTTTTTTAAATACTGCCTCTGTAACAGGCAGCTTTTGGAAGTCAGTTAGTTGTGATGATTCTGGATTCAGAATCCATTCCAAAATGCTTACCAAAATCCTACGTTGGAAACTCTATGCATGCATAGGAGCCTGGGGTGTGGCTGTTGCTGAGCCAAACTTGGTTTATTAAAAATCCCAGTCAGTAAAACAACTGAATGGAGAATGAGAGTATGAGTCCTGACTTCTCAGGAGTAAATGTACAACCTGGCTAAAATCTTGTCTGAGTAATTTTCCCCACTTGATGGATGATAAAAAGAAGGTATGCAGGGCTTTAGGAGAGTCTGAGAGAATAATTATTACAATATGTCCTAGAAAAGAGCCATAATAATAGACCATAAAAATAAACCATGGCTCTTGACTAAGACATCAGACCAGATCATACTGGTTGATAAATGTAATGAAGCCTGTGTGGTGGAATGGCACCATTTGGTAAACCTACTGCAAACACCTACACAAAAAGGAATGAGCACGGGAGCTGTTTGCAGAGACGAAATGTGGGAACCTCAGAGCTTCAAAATAAAGCAGTTGAGGTTTATACACCTCTCTATGCACACCCACTCACCTAGGCCTCATTAATTACCTAAAACTTATTTTATACTAGCAACGGCCATGTTTTTTAGCCTCAAGATGTGTATTCCATTTTTTTTTACCACACACATTTGGCTTATGTTTATTGCATAGCATGTAATAAATTGATATTGATTATGTTTAAAAAATAAGCTGACAAAATAGCAGGAATAACTCAGCAGAACCTATAGATAGCTGAAACTTTAAATGACATAAGGTGAGGGAGAACAGTGGAAGAAGGGTTGACATTGATCAAAATGCATTATATTCATCAATTGGCATGTTGAATTGAAACCATGTGTACTACTTAAAGATACTAAAAAGAAAAAGAATGACTTGAGGGTAGACCGTATTTCTCCAATGGCATCTTGTGAGTCAGAATCCTTTCACTGACACATCTCTGTGATTACTAAATTACATTGATCATATTCCTCAAAAAGATAGAACAAATCTATATAGCTCGTCTCTCTTATGTTTCCAAGTGCCAGCATCAAAATATAGTTCTGAGGTATTCAAGGAAGCTCATGTCTCATGTACAAATTGTAAACAGTTATTAAGATGAGGTAGCAAACATGTAGCTAAATGTTTGGTAGGATGGGCCCGAATTTATGAAAAATAACAAATTTGGGTGGGCCAAGGCTTTGAATCGAGTAGAAAGACACTTTCTCCTCATCCTTATTAACCTAACCTTACTCTATCTCTCTCCTCATTTTGGCTTATTGATGGATCTCTTTAAAGTTCAGCACTAGTACTTCCAGCCTTGACCACATTTTTTGCTTGGATGTTAATTTACTTATTATCATTAATTGCTACTTTCTGATGTAGGTTGTAAATGTGTATAGATGGACCTTTCCAATTTCACTGTCATATACTCTTAATATTGGGAGGTAAAGGTTTTTTTTAATTACTTAAGTAAATAAAGCTCTCAAATAAGGAAATAAATCATAATTTGCAATATTAAACCTAGGAAATAATTCATAGTAGAGTGAGCTTTCTGAAACACTTGTTCACAAGCATTGCCTGCCTCCAAACACACACACACATACATTGGTACATAAGTTGAAAATGTTTTACTTATAGGGCCTCAACTGAGCAATAAGACACAGGAATGAAGGAGCTAAAAGATGGATGGATATTGCTATCTCTCTTGCAGAAGAGGGAACATTGAGGCATAAAACAGTTAAATGACCTGGCAATGGTCAAACAGACAAGGCTTTTAGAGGCAGAAAATTTCTAGGAAAGCATTTTTAAAAATTTGCTAGAAAAACATTGTGCATCTTATTAATGGGTGACTCAATATTAATTCTACCTCAGATCAATATATTTTCTCTTCATTAGAAAAACAGAAGTGACAAGAATATATGGTACAGGGGAAGGTATTCTATGATCAGCAGTCAAATAAAATAATGAGATAAAGGAAATTGTTTAGTTGCTCATGACAGAAAGATTCCAAAAATACCTGTGTTCTTCTGAATGCAACACAGAAATGTGACTGTACTTGATAAGAAACTGTTATATAAGAACCACAAGAGAAGAGTTCAAAGGGTCCAAATACTAGGAAATGATAAATGTTTGAAACAATGGAAATGTTAATTACTTTGATTGATCATTGTGCATTATATATATATATATATATATGTTATTTAACTATTTATTTGCACCCCAAAAATATGTACTATTATCATGTGTCAATTAAAAAGAAACATAATAAAAGGAGAAAAATGATCTTATAATAAGCAAAAAGTAAGTAAGTATGATACAACAGAGGAATTATAGTCATGCATTTGCAGTAGAGCTGTAAAATGCAAATCACTGTATTAATGTATTAACGGGCAGCCCATGGGAACTTCTTCCAAATGAAGAGTGAACAGGGCAGAGCTCTGTGGAAGTTGCATTAGGAAACATGGTACTAAGAGGGTTTACACTTGTACATTTCTTTAATTTTGGTTTTAAATATTTGACTAGCAGTGTTATCTAAGGTAAATCTTTTCACTTCGTGTGAAAAGTATGTATATATTTTCTTATGAATACCTGTCACATACATTAGTGTTTGGAAGAGCAAATGTACTGATGTATAAGGTAGATTTGATTTGGGCTGAAAGATAGTAAAATTTCCTTCAGCAAACAGTGACTCCTCTTTGATTCTGAATAGTGCTTCTTCTTTCAAGGGAAGGTTTGGGGGAATACTTTTGGAATCACCCACAAATAATGTACTAAAAATCTTGTAGGCTATGCATGGTGGTTGATCCAGGCATAGATAGGAAGATCTCTGTTCAAGACAAGCCTGGACAGAGACACAAGACCCTATCTGTAAAACACTTAACACAAAAGACAATTGAGGTGTGCTTCAAGGGGTAGAATACCTGTCTAGCAAGTGGGACATCCTGAATCCAAACCAAAAAAACATAAAACCAAGGAATAAGTAAATAGGTGATCCCCCAATACTGCTAGCAGAACTGAGGAAGGAGGGGGTACCCTTTGCCTTAAAGTCTTCTGGAAAGGAAGAGTCTTCTGTCCTGGAAATAACCTCCACCAGGTAGTTTACCACAGGCATGATTTTTCCTTAATGAACACTCAAGGAAGCACACTCAATGGACTTCAGCAAAGCAGAGACTGTGCCTTCATGTTTGTGTTTATAGCGTTTGGTTTGGGAATTGGTGTAGAAAGGGGTCCTTAGAGATTGCCTTTCTCATATGCCTCAAGTAGAAGCAGCAGATATTCATGGATTTCTGTTTTCATTTCTCCCTTTCCCTCTGACCCTTCAGATATATGAGGAATCCAAGATGAATTTGGAGCAGGAGAGGCCATTTGTCTGCAGTGCCCCAGGCTGCTCCCAGGTGAGTGTGTGTGGATTCTCTCGCTCTCTGGCTTTACTGGAGGAAAATGCCTGTCCCCTGGCAATCACACCTGCCCTGGGCTTTCCATCTTTTCCAAGATACTGTCAAAGCTCCCTCACGTGAATGCCATGATCATCATCATCACCACTACTTACTTTAAGTAGTCTGAACTATTTCCCTCTTGCTAGTTAAAATACGGTAGTATTGAACGTTTTCACTCCAGATTCCAGCTGTGCAGGAAAGGATGGGAGGGTTCTCAGCCCTCTCTGGGCTTTACTAGTGAATGGCTCCTTGTTAAAGATGGAATTCATTTTGTTCTGTTTTTCCTTTGAGTAAAAGAACCCCCTAACCACTCTTCTAGAACCCATAGTTTTCCTGTATCTGAATTTTAAAAGGGACACATGTCCCTTTTAAAGAGATCTCTTGATGAATCATCAAGAAGAAATAGTATGAGAATTGGAGGAGATACTGCCTATAGAATGTATAATGGAGGGCCTGCTAACATCCATGCTTGTTTCTGATACTGATGTTGCCATGAAGACTATTACACTGGAAACTCTCCTTTTAAAAAGGAGAACTTTACCTTTGAAACATGATGGTAGTTTTTCTTTTTCTACTCATGACTTTGGGCTCTCTGTATGTTCTAGCTATTGCTATGTATGGAAAAATGATCTTATGTGGTTGTTTTCATGCCAAGCTCCGAGACACGTTTAAAACACTGAGCATAGGCATTTGTTTAATGTGGGTATTTATACCCTTTCCTTAACACTAGTATTTTCAAGGGAACTAGGAACCAGGGCCTATCTAGCCCCTCTTCCCTCACCACACACACTGCCTATGTGGTGGGGTTGGCAGTACCATATGAGACAATGATTCATATGGGCGGTCATGCCCCTTGAGACCTTTTCTTATTCTATGTCCCCAGAGAGTACCTGAAGGATTCTGGGAGAGGCTGGAGGGAGGAAGTCATAGAAAAAGAAGCTGCTGTTGCCAGTATTATCTCCTGAATACCCAGAGTCTTTTGCTCAGAGTGGAAATTTCAGGGAGTCTTTTTACTAAGTAATGTTCACTTCTTAACCATAAGTTAGCAAAGCAGTTTTGAAGCAAACAAGTTTTGAAGGTCATTCTGAAGTAGTAAGCACTATGAAAGCACAGATGGGTTCATAATAATGGGAAATTCTCTCTAGATCAGGACTCTTCGTGGTGAGTGAGAAATATTACCTTACTACCTGAAATCTCTGTCCCTAACTAAGGCAAACTGGTTGATGGTCACTTCGTTTCTTTAACGGGAAATCTCCATAGCTAAAGAGGAACATAATTGGGGCAGTTTGCTTTGGCTGTGACAATAAGGCATCAAGTTTTACTCAGGTAGTCAGTCAACACACTTTGGAAAGTCTACAATGTGCCAGGCACACTGATTGCCCAAAGGAAACAGCAGTGCCCCAGACACAGAACTTATGGCCCAGACATTAAATCTGTAACCACATGATCAGTTTATCAGTTTTAAGTTTTCATGAAGAAATAGGGTAGATCTGAAGCACAGAATAGAGGGACTGACTTCACCTGGGATGGCGAAGGGGCTCTTCCAGCAAAGGCGCATTTAATAGAATGGGAGCTCCAGGAATCCAGAAATGGTGAAGAATGGGCCAAGGCCGGTTGGGATTCCCAGCCAAAGTCAAGGTGATTGACAGTGGAGAACATCTTCAGGAAGAAGTTGTCGGTTACATCTGATAGATATGTTGGAAAGAAGAGAGCTACCTGTAAGTCATTGGGCTACAGAATTCCCCAAATTTGGCACCTATTAATGTTTAGAGCTGAGTATTTTGGTGTAGAAGCTGATCTGTGCATTGGAGAATAATTAGCAATATCCCTAGCTGCTACTCTCCAGATCTCAGTACTGGCAAACTCTGTGATCCCACAATTGCACTCACCCCAGGCATTCTGATATTATCTGCTGCCCCACTAGGGGGGAAAATTACCCCTGCTTGAGAATGAATGCCTGTCATTTGCAGTTTAACATATAACTCCTTCTCTTTGGGGGCCCCAGGTACCTCCAATCAGTCTCTCCACTCTGTGTGTGTGTGTGTGTGTGTGTGTGTGTGTTTGTGTGTGTGTGTGCATTGCTCTAAGCCATCTTTAGTCTTGTTGGGAGTCAGAATATAAATAAATCAATGCCACAGACGTGCAGTCACTGTGGCAGACACTGTTGGAGCTGGGCTAGTTGGAGGTCTGAGTAGAGGCTGTTGGACTTGGCACCCATTTGCTCACTGGCCAGGAGAGAGCAGAGGGGCGGAGGCCCGTTTGCCGAGGATTAATGAGTGAGTGGGCGGTGAGGAAGCGGAGGTGGCTAGCATAGAGGACTCTTTCAAGAGCACTAGGGCAGTGCCGGGAAGCTGAGTGATCTAATGGTACTGAGCTTTTTTTTCAAATTAAAGGATGGCCAAACTGGATTCAGCCAAAGGCCAGGAACTCGTAAGAGAAAGGGAGAAAGCTGGTGGAGGAAGGGGCTGGAAGGACCAATGCGCAAGTGTAGAACATCCTGAGGCAGGGTAGGCGTGGAAGGGGTGGAAGGAGGATCTATGAACTCACATGTAGATTCGGAAGTAGAGGAGGTAAGCTTTATTTATTACATTGAATAAACAGGTTTGTTGTTGTTGTTGTTGGTGGTGGTGGTGGTGTGTGTGGTGCTGGAGATGTAACAGTACCAAACACAGACACAACACAGGCACAGATACATGCACAGGCGCCCACACACACACACACACACACATGCTAGGCAAGTTCTCTGTCATTGAGCTACATCCCCAGTCCTTGAACAGTTTATCTTGAATGACCTTGAACATTCTGATGAAGTAGTTGGTTAACAAGGTTGACTAAATTGATGAAAAGGTTCCATGCAGGTAAAACATGAGGATTTACTAAGTTTCCTGATTTAAAAGGACAATTCTGGGCATTACCTACAACTTTAAGTGGAAAAAATGCATTTAACACTCAATGCTTCCACTTGATGTGGATATGTTTCTTTTCCTTAAGAAGTGATTATCAAAATATGCCCATCTTTTGGTCAAAAATGTAGCAGTCACCCAGTTATCCCATAGTTATCTGGTGGCATTTTAGGAACTCCAAGTCAATTGTTGTTATGGTCTTGGCCTTAGTGACAACCCACAGCCCAGGAACCTGCATGGAGAAGAAGAGGTGCTGAAAATGGAAAGGAGGTATTCCAAAGGGATGGTGGAAGGAATTCCTCGCTTTTCTTTTGGAAAGCAAACTCTGTGTGTGTGTGTGTGTGTGTGTGTGTGTGTGTGTGTGTGTGTGTGTGTGTGTGTGATGGTCTGAGTTGCCTGGGAGATTTTTAAAGTTACAAACCTTTAGACATGATCTTTATTTCAGAAGTAGGGTGTTACACACATCTCTTAATTCTTTGTAATCCCCAGAGTCCTATGTTAATTTTACTCCTCCCTTGCCCTGGACCTGAGCCATGTTTTGATTCTATGTCTGTAGTAGACTGTACATTTCAGTTATTAGCTATTTTCCTACTTAATTAAAAAGCCACAATCATTATATAATTATTTGGGAAGTAGTTATAGTTAATATTCAGTATGATAGGCACATATTGGTCCTGGCACTGAGGCTGAGGTAGGAAGTTTATGAGTTTGAAGTCAGAAAGGGCTACATACTAAGACCTTATCTAAACACACACACATATGTGTATATATATATATATGTAGATATGTATTATTTTATTGAAAATAAAAACTTTAAGACATTGATAGAAAGAGGAGGACATTTAACTTCTAAGTCATGTGTGCTCATATTAAATAGATGGTACTGTCATTATATGGTGTTATCTAATCACTATATAGTGAATAGATGAACCAACAACAAAAAAATAAAATAAAGAAATAAGTCAGTATGTCCTACAAAGCAGACTTCTATATGATATGGAATAATTATCATGCTTTGCAAATTTTGTTTTCTCTTATGGATGATACAAATGACAAGTAAATAAGTAACATTATTTGAAAACTACTTTTAGAATCTTTCATAGGATTCAGCCTTCATTCCCATAAATACAAATTTCTACTACAGTATAGAAAAGATTAATTAGAATTTACATTGTTTATCCTGAAAAACTAGGGAGCTCTGAAAGCTTATTTTTAATTGTCAAAGATTCAGAACTGTTTAACAGAATTGATTTTCTTTTCATTTATTTTATTTTTATTGTGAAAATACCATATAGAGTGGTTACAATTACATGAGCAGGGTAATGAGTACATTTCTTTTTTTTTTCAAGTTTTCAATAGTGCTTTTTCTTTTTTTTTATTGTGAAAATACTGTACAGAGGGGTTACAATTACATGGGCAAGATAATGAGTACATTTCTTATCAAGCATTGTAGCCTCCTCCTTTGTTTCCTCTTCCCATCCCTTCCCATCTCCCTCCCCGCGTGCCCCCCCGCCCCAGCCAAAGTTGTAAAGTTAGTTTTTTGACATAACGTCTTCTCTTGTATTTCTGTTACAAACATAACAACCTGAGTTGGGGCAGGGTAGGATCTTTAACAAATTGCCCCAATGCTTCAATGGCTTAACAAAACCAAAAAAACCCATTGTGTTACCTAAGGATACAGTTCTTTTGTAGATTGACAGGAAACTCTTCATAAACCTTTTTAAAAAATACTTACAATTATCTTAAAGTAGGTGTACATAAAAGGTACCCTATATACCAAAGCCGTTTGTGAATAGAATGTGTCTTGGTCAATATCACCCGCTTCAGCCTTCTCACACCCTTTGACCCACCTTAATTTTGTGGTACATACAATGAAATACTCTTAAACATCTTTCAGAGATTTAGGGTAATTGAGGAGTCACTATTTCCAATATTGTGAGTCACCATACTGTGCCATGAAATGGGGGAAGGGAATGATAGAAAGTCTTCTGCCAGTGATAAGATGCTTCTGGATGACATCACTTCCACTCTAGACCCCAGGGGCAGAGCTAGGTCCATGGCTAGAACATTCATAATAGAAAATTCAGTCCCAGCATGTGACCAGAAGTCAGACAGCAAAATAGTTCAGGGAGTCATATTTTTCACAAGCCTAACATTATCTGGAAATGAAAAACAAATATGGGTTTACCATTCTAGACAGAGTGCAGAATTTTAAAAATAATTCATTATGTTACTGTGAAATCATATGCATAATGTATAAAAAGAGGACAATTGGTGGACCAAGTCTTCACAAACCGAAACATACTATATGAAGGTCACAGTATACATTTGTAGACATATGTGCCAAATAGTTAAGCATGGTATATAATTCTTTGCCAAAGTCTGACACGAATTAACATTCTCTCCTATGTCATGCATTTCTTTTAGTTTCAGTTAATCTATAGATAATGTCTAGCATACTAATCATGACTTCAACTTAATTTTACACTATTATGTAAAACAGTAACCACTAGACCAAAGTTCCACACCATTTTGCAAAATTTCAGTGCTTCTCAGATCTAAATCCACTTTCTTGTTTTTGAATATATATATAACATATATACACATGTATATATACATGTATGTATAGACACATGTATATCATGTGTATATATGGAAAGATGGGAACATTTTGATTTTATTATTCTGCCATTATTATTTTTATGCTGTTAATTTTTTAAAAATATCTAACGTTAGGCAGGTGCTTTAAGACATAGTATATCTTTGGTGTTTACTATTTAGATAACTTCAATAGTGCTTATGCACTTGTTTCTATTTTATCCCTTAGCTAAACACAAAATCCAAGGTCTCTCAGATGAAAATCCCTAGTTTTTAAGGAGGTATCAGTATAGGTCCTTAGATCTAGGGGATCTCTCATAAGAATTATGGCCTTTAGCTGGGTGCTAGTGGCTAACACCTGTAATTCTAGCTACTCAAGAAGCTGAGATCTGAGGATTGTGGTTTGGAGCCAGCCTGGGTAGGAAAATCCGTGAGACAATTATCTCCAACTAAGCCCCACAAAAAGCTGAAAAGAGAGCTGTGGCTCAAGTGGTAGAGTGTTAGACTTGAGCACAAAAACTCAGAGACAGCACCCAGGCCCTGATGTCAAGCCCCAGGACCAGCGCGCGCACGCACACACACACACACACACACAGAATTATAGGCCTTTTATGGAGTCCCCAGAGGTGAGAGGAGCTGGAGAATAATTGAATGCAAAGTGCTCTAACTTACGTTAGTACTAGGGAAGGTTCTTCTCTACTGTAGTTAACCCCTTGGTAAATGGATGCCTATATTTGGATATAATTAAAAAGCACATTACAGCCATTTGCTTGCATAAAACAGCATGTAACTTTACATTGTTACGCCTTCACGCTTTTTTCAGACTTGAATTTTTGTGTGCCTGTCATATTGGCAAAGCTAAATAAATCTTTTTCTCTACAATGACAAATATGTGTATAAAACTGAATGTTTTTTCTCCCCTCCTTTCCTTTTCTATTTGTTCAACAGCGCTTTCCAACAGAGGACCATCTGATGATTCATAGGCACAAGCATGAAATGACTTTGAAGTTTCCCTCGATAAAAACAGACAATATGTTATCAGGTAAGGGTACATCAGGCAAAGAAGCTGTGGGTAATCAGCCCAGTTTCATGCACTATACTTATTTTCCTGTTGGTGGGCTGATTCTCACTGGCAAATTCTACACTTTGAAAAAATACATGTCTAAAGAGTGGCAGAAATATAATCCGTGTAGTGAATATCCAAATAATTGGAGAGCTGCATCTCCTCATTTTTAGTCATTACATTGAAATTTGGATCCATATGATTAAAAAAGTATTCTGTGATCACTCAGACAACATATACTAATCAAGTATCTGTAACATACACTGCGCTGTCATGAGTGCCGTGGGAGGTGTATAGATTAATATGTCTCTTGTCCTAAGAGCTTGCATGTGAAGACTTAGCTAAAATAAAGGCTCATACACGACGTGTATCAAATGCATTGTACAAGGAACAAATGAGGTATAGCCTCAGTGGAAGAGGCTCTGCTTCTAGCCTGAAATAATCAAGGAAGTTTTCCTTAAATAACTACTGCATAAGTGAGAGACTAAGTGGAAATGGGAAAATTGAACTTTTCTGAGCCTCATTTTCCCGATTAAAAGGAAATGACAGTAGCTTTCTACCCTATTTCACAGGCTTATCATAAAGATTCAAGGAAAGAATGAGGAAAGAATGTCAGAGTGTGTCTCATAAACCTGTGTGAGGTAGCTGGATCATTTCTGATGACCCTTCTTGGGATAGAAATATTTGGACTAATGTGTGTCTCCTTGTCATCCTGAACGAGATGACACACCCATGAACATGTTTTTGTTGATAGCAGAAGAGAAACTGCTGGTCTGGCAGGCATGTCTTGTTTGACTGTTTAGCACTTAAAATGTCCAGGTATTGTCCGATCATGACTTTTGGAAAATTCTCTAAGAGTTGCCAGGAAGGGCCCAAAGAATGGGAACAGCTAACCCAACAGAGGGGCCTTGATCCTCAGTCCTGATTGAAGTATACTCAGCTACGGTACTTGGTTGTGCCAGATCAGCATGAGCACATACTATCGCAGCTTCCTAAGTGCACCAGGAACTTGTTCACACAGACACTCTGTGATGGGGTAACCTCTGGTTCAAACCAGCTGATCACTTCTCTGATCACCGCCACCTGGCTCTTCTCGCAGCTCCTGTTTGTTTTGAATTAAAATGAATAAACTGGCTTGTCAGAGGCTGACTTGACTTTCCCTAAGACCTTTAAGGAGATACACAAGTTCAAACCTGTGAGTTATAGAAGCCTAGAAGAGTTCTTATCCTTTTGCCTTGATCGTTTATTGAACTCCATAGAGTAACATCATGGCAATGTACATATATGCAAATCACAAGGCCATAGGCTTTGTAACTCTCAATATTTAAGTCCACAAATTCTTTATTTTTCCCCAAGTTTGATTCCAAAAATTGGCTGTCTGGTGGTAGGGGAGCCAGAGATAAGTGTTTGAGAGTGGCAAGTGTGTAGGCTATTGCTGGTGGGTAGCAGAGTAGTGTATCTTCTAGGACAACTGCTAGACTGGTTCTTTGAGAGTCCCAGTTGAAGTTCTGGGGGAACGAAAGCAACTAAAGAGACTTAATAGTGAAGTGAACCACTCTTCTTTTTGCTAGCTAAAAGTAGAATTTTGATGATTCTCCTTTAATTATTTTTACTAATCTTGTTTTTTTGTGGGTCGTGGGGCTTGAACTCTGGGCCTGGGTGCTGAAGAACTCAGGGAAAGCCCTCTACTACTTGAACCACAGCATCACTTTCACTTCAATTATTTTTATTGGATCCTTATTAATGTGTGGTTGTTGTTGCCAATCATTGGCAAGGCTAGCTGGAATTATTAAGAGAAAAGTAATGTGAGGTTTGGAATGACAAAGCAAAAAGAGAAATAAATGCAAGGAACACGGTATGAATAATATAGTGGTGTGATTTTTTGCTTTCTCATGTGTTATGCTGAAGTTGTTATGTGCCACTTAATACTCTCAGTGAAATTAAATGCTGTGTTTTGAAACTTGCTACTCTCCTTGCATATTCTCCGGTCTCACAGGGTTTTCTTATTGGAAGACATGCACAAGTGTCCAGACCAGGCCATTTCTTTGCACTTAGAGATTTCCATTCCATGATATATAATATGCCAGACTTGCTCACATTGAGTTATAATAGATTATCTGTTGCATATTTTTACTTTGCTGTTTTCCCCTAGGAAACAGTGAAATATTTATTTATATCAAATCTTTTTGTTTATAATGATAGTGTTAGCATTTTTATTATGATTACAAATTTGAATATTTTACTTGTTTATATCTAGATTCATTAAAATTTGAATTTATCAAAAGCTTGAGAATCTACCTTTATTACCATGTTCATAAAGTATTACATATTTTAAGCCTATTTTGAAGTCTATTTTGTCATAAATGAAATTTTATCATATGATCTTATTTTGTGATAAGTAATTTTGCATAATTGAAAGATAAAAGTAGAGTCAGGCCTAGTTACCCTGGAGACAGATATAAAGATTGTAGTTCAAAGCCATTGTGTAAGACAATTCTGAGAGACTCTTATATCAATTAAGTAGCAAAAAGCAGAAGAGTAGGTGTTTCTCAAGTGGTAGAGGACCAGCCTGGAGTACAAAAGCTTATCAAAAAATGTGAGGAGGTTCTGAGTTCAGGCCCCAATACCAGCACAAAAATGAAAAGAAATATAAAAATAACATTTAAAATGAGAACAAATCAAATTGTAAATAAGCATCAGATAAAAACTCTGTAATTTCTTTTTGGACCATTTTTTTATGTGATATATTCAAACAAAAATGTATTGTGAGGGCTGGGAAGGTGGCTCAGTGGTAGATCACTTGCCTTACATGCATGAGGCCCTGGGTTCGATTCCTCAGCACCACATAAGCAAAAAGAAAAAAGCCGGAAGTGGTGCTGTGGCTCAAGTGGTAGAGCGCTAGCCTTGAGTTGAAGAGCTGAGGGACAGCGCCCAGGCCCAGAGTTCAGGCCCCACGACCAGACCCCCCCCCAAAAAATGTGCTAGTTTCTGGGTGTGTGGCATTGATGAAGAACATGAGGCCCTACTTCTTATGAAACTTGCCACCCTGTAATGGGGTATGGAGGATGAGAGACAATACACTGCACAATAATCAAGCAAAGCAAGCGTAGAAAGAATCCTTAGTGAGAAGTGCTGCGAAGACAAAACTTGAGCATGGGACTGCAAGTGCCCAGCAAGTCGCCTAAGGAAGGGCAGTGTAATAGCCTCAGCATCTGCTCACGACCTGACTGTGTGCACTGTGGGCTCAGGAGTCCTTTCTTCTTGACTTTTGAGCATGGTGGGGACTGGGCATGGTAAGACTGCAGGACCGGATGTGGCATCGCTGGCTGTGTCTTGAGGAACCAGAGGGACGGGAGGGATCAACTTCCTCCTCCCGCATTTCTTTTCAGATTCTTAGCTCCCACCTTCTGATGTTAATAAAGATACAGTACTTCATCAGCCACACAGTTTTCTCGATTAAGTCTAGAATCATGGTCCATCTCTAGGTCTGGGATCTAAACCTAATTCTGTGCCCAGAGAAGAACATGATTTATGGTTGCTACAAGAGGCTAACCCTGATCTCTTGAACAACCCAAATGCATTGTTGGCAGCCCTTTGGTACAAACTTTACCATGAACTCTACTCAGTGGTATCTTGAGGGGAAAGTGAGAGGGAAGAGGCACACCTTGCTCCATATTCTTCTTAGAATGATCTGGGCTATTTACAAATCGGTTGGAGCTAATAAATATATAAACCATGCATGCACTTACCATATGTGTGGACAATTTCATTGACAGTAAAGGTCTATAATATTTCTGAGTATGTACATTAATTGGACTTTTATGGAACATGGGGTGGTGGAGATGGCTTGCACCAGGGGGCAGTACAATAATAGTAATAGCTACCACTTTGTCCTATGGTGCATATACATTACACCATTTAATCCTCTGTACTTTTTTCATATGAAGAATCATGATCCAAAGAACAGTTTGTCCCAAGTCCTGTAGATATTGCTTAAGAACTAGATTCACCATGTTTTACCCATGGTGGCACTGTCTCTTGGGATGGAGGCAGAAATTGTAATGTCAGTATTACTGAGAGATTCCATTGCTCTTATTGAATAGTCACATCCAATAAAAGGTATATTTATTGAAAATAAACATTTCTAAAATTCCATTCAGGTTTGTAGTTGTTACTCATTATTACTCTTATAAAAGATTATGTATCTTAAGATTCATTTATAGTCAGGTAACAATGACTTATGCCTATAATCCTAGCTACTCAGGAGGCTGAGATCTGGAAGTTCAGTTTAAAGTTTGGCCAGGTACTCTGTGAGATTCTATCTACAAAATAATTATCAAAAAGCTGGAGGATAGAGTGACAATTGATTAAGTGCCAACTGAGCAACCAAGACCTGCAAGAGTGAGGCCCTGAGTTCAAATCTCAGTAACACAAACAGGTCATCAAAATGGTCATGAATTCAAACTATCCTTCATTATAGCTGGTAGGTGTTAATGAGTTTATCTTTAAATCAGGTTAATGGAAAATGATCTACAATTACTTTTTGTAGTTGTTTTAGTGTTTCCACATTTGGTTGTATAAGACATAAAGAAAAGATATTTGCTTAAAAGTTAACATCTCTTCTCTGGTATACAATGCCTTCCTTTCCCTTACCATTTTTTGAAATTGTTGACTTGGCTTCTTTGTCTTTCTTTCTTTCTTTCTTTCTTCCTTCCTTCCTTCCTTCCTTCCTTCCTTCCTTCCTTCCTTCCTTCCTTCCTTCCTTCCTTCCTTCCTTCCTTCCTTTCTTTCTTTCTTTCTTTCTTTCTTTCTTATTGAAGGAAATGAAATATAAATGACATATAATTCAGGTGCATCTTTGGAACTAAATAAGGTAGCAATTTTTATTAACTATGGAGTGGAATAACCATTTTTTAAAAAGAAGAATCAGGCTTCAGAATGTAGGAATGTAGCTTTGTGCTTGCCACTTAGTTTTACTTTGCAATAATCATACTGGTTGGGGCTCGAGAAGCTTATGGACAGTCTATGAATTGATAGGAATCTCTGAGAGTCACTTTCAAAGGTAATGCCAGCTATATGTTCATTGTCTGTTCCCTTGATAATGTGCTCAGAATTTCCTATCATATCACTGATGGTGATTCCTAAATTGTAGAGGCAAGTTCGTGGCGTACATACTTTCTACCAACTACACAAATAGGGTGTTAACATGACAAGTGCTGTTTCAGGGCATAGTGATTTCCCGAAGAGAATGCTTTTCCTTAGCAAGTAGATCCAGCCAGGAGAACTAGGCACTATGAAATAGTTGGCAAAGAAATATTTTATCCCTTTGAGTGTCGAGCTTTTAAATTTTAACTTTAAATTTATCTAGGTATAGTAATTATACTACAGGGTTACATTTCAGTACATATGTACAATATGGAATGATCAGATTAGATGAACTGGCATATCCATTGATTTGAGCATTTATCCATTCTTTGTGTTGGAAGCATTCAGAATCCTTTCTACCAGCTGTTTTGAGACACTCAATCGTTGTCACACACAGTGCTCCTTCTGTGCTATATAGGATGTTAAGACATTTCTCTTATCCAGCTGTGCCTTTTATCTAATTAAGCATTCTCTTTCTGCTCCTCTTTTCCCATCCTTCTCAGCCTCTGGAAACCACTATTCCATTTTCCACTTGTATGACTTTTTAAGCTTCCACAAATAAGTGAGAACATATAGTATTTGTCTTCCTGTGTCTAACTTAGCATACTGTTCTCTAGGTTACCCCAGTTGTAGCAAATGACAGGATCTCATTCTCTTTCTCATGATAAACATCTTTCTTGACTGATTGGTGAAAAACTCCCTTAGGACCCATGCAACAGGGAAAGAAGTGGATGAGATTTCCTGCTTGCATTTGTCCCAGGTGCTTGGTCTCTGAGGAATCCTGTGTGCTTTTTGAAAACTCTTTGCTAGAGGGTGTTTATATAGCAATAATTCAGAGTAGAAAAGTAATAATCATAAAAATTTTGTACTCAGATGAAGTTCAAATGAAAAGTGTATTAACTTGTAGACTCATTCACTTGTTCCTCACTAAAGTGAAAGTATTGAGAAAAGGTGATTGTAAAACAATCATCTCAGCTCAGGGCTCCTACTGAAAATAGTTCCTGTCAGGAACCCTTGTGTCCATGGCTCATGCCTGTAATTCTAGCTACTCTGGAGGCTGAGAACTGAGGATCACAGTTGGAAGCCAGCCTAGGCATGATAGTTCCAGAGATTATTAATACAAATTAAGCAGTAAAAAGCCAGAAATGGAGCTATAGCCCAGTGGTAGAATGCGAGCCTTGGGTGATAAAGCTAAAGGAGAGTGTCTGGGCTTATGGAATAATGCATGAGAGAGGGAGAGAGAGGGGGAGGAAGAGAGGGGGGAGGGAAGGAGGGAGGGGAAAGAGAAAGAGGAAAAAAGAAAAGAAAAAGGAACTAGTTCCTACAAATCCTTGGAGTATCTGCTGTATCTATGGAATGAGCAAACCTTAGGTTTTATTTATCTGCCAAATGAGCACACTATTCATGCTTATTCATGATGTGCCATAGCTGACTGATGCATGTTCTTAGATCTAAGTAAGTCCCTTATCATCATTTTGACTATGGCTATGTTTTTACCCACTAACGTCAGGTCTAATTTGATCAGGAACAATTATTTGACAAAGGCATTCATAATTCTGCCATGTGGGGGTTAAGTAGCTGATAGATTTAGCTGTGCTTCTTTTGTGCATTCATTTGCACATTTTCTGGCTTACTTGAAAGTGGACTATGTAAGATAAAAAAACGACTGGAGACCCTATATTGACTTTCTAGTAAATATTAAAACAAAAGTTAAGCCTCCTTTTTCTGGTTCCTGTTGTAGCTGTAAAGAATGGGGTCATTCGCACACAAAAAGTGGTGAATTAAAACTTAGGAACAGCATGCCTTGCGTATTCCAAATGTGGACTTTAGATACCTCATTTAAATTTCTTTAGCTATATCATACAGTAAGGAAAAGTAATAATCATAAAATCTTTGTGCTCAGGTGAAAATAACAACTTTAAGGCTACCTTCTGGACCTCCTGCTCTGGGTGGAGGGAAGCAACTGTCTTTGCTGCCCACAGCTCTACTTGTTTCCTGGCCTTGTTCCTATTGCTGAAGAAGCCCAAGATGGCACTGTCATCCTCAGCTCTGTTCTTTCTACTCCCCTCCCACCTCCCTTGGTAGTGTATGTAGGTGTGTGCTGGTATCTGGAGATCAATCTGTTTTAGAGTAGATGAGAAAAACCTCTCAGCGTGGCTTGGAGCTTCATGCTTCTGTGCAACCTACTTTTGAGATCATGGATCGTCTCATGGCTTCTGTAAGAGTTCAAGGATTTCATGGGCCTTTCTCTACACCTTGAACCATGGCCTTCAATGCTCAAGGTCAAACAAAGAAATAAAAGGAATAAGGAAAAATTAAAACTTGACAGACTAAAAAGTCCTACTGATGTCAAGAAACAGAAGAACCATACACACATATACACTTTTCTATTTCTACTCTAATAGATTGTCTTTTTACACAATTTATTCAGAAAAACCTCTTATCTTATACTGAGTCCTTACTGGTCTCGTCTCATAAGCCTTTTGGTCTTATAAGTTCTAGCTGTTTTTGATGTTCTCATTTGACTATCCTTTAAAAAGTGATATATTTCTCTGACCACAAAGCAGTGACTTTTGAAGCGTAAGCTGTTATGGTGATGATTTTTAGAATTTACAGAATCCTAAAATTTTACACATTTACCTGAAAGATAAAGTCCAGAGAAAGTATTCATTTTTCCTCAAATCATGCTATTTGTAAATATATATTTCTAGATTGTCAAAATTGTCTTTTACACACACACACACACACACACACACACACACACACACCCCAGAGCCTTTTGGATCTGAGAAGGTAGATGTGATAGCACTGGAATTAGATGGAAAAGAATCATGTCTGATAGTAAAAGATGGCTTGGTAGTAGTGATATACTTACAAATTGCATGACTTTGTGCAAGAAAGCTTATTTCTGTTTCTAAAATAATGTCTACCTCTTTACCTCACCGAAACATGAGAACTACATGAAAGAAGCATATATGTAATCTATGAAGTCTTACATAAAATATATCATCTTTTATAAGCTAATATATGTGTATGTAGACATATCTGTGTATTCATCTATACATATCCATATGATAAACAGCCATATGTCTGTTCATCATAAGTTAATGAAATCATTTGCAATAAAGCTCAAATTTTCACATATCTTTTACAAACAATGCTCAATGTATGATCATCTACAGTAGGCTTTCTGTAGTCTACAAAGAGATCTCAGCATCTTGGAGATTAGGCTAAGAATGGAGATGAAAGGGACTTTGCTGCCCTAGAACCCAAGCCAGCCATTTGATGCTTAATGTCCCTTTCCCGTTGGGAATGGCGGTACATTGCCTCTCATACTGATTGAGTTATCCAGCCAATTTATGCTTCACAGATATTAAAATGTTTTTGAATCTTAGTGGATATTTACTGACTTAATTCTGAAATAACATTGTTGCATAACTTAGAAAAGTAAACCAAATTCAAACTTCTTGTAATACAGAAATTGATGGTTTGTAAGACTGGAAAATTCATTTTACTCATGTATGGGATGATAGCTTAGAGAGCTGTGCAGAAAGAGATCAGAGTACTGAGCAGAGCTCCAGCAGGCCAAATACCATAAAGAGCCCATAGTGTATGTACAGATATGGGTGGGGGTAATCTATGCCTCCCTTGGGAAGAGCACTGATTCTTTGCTTATAATCCTATGTGGGAGACCTTGGAATAAGACCTTAAATCTCACTGGGCCTTAAATTTCCTCATTTGAAAATTAATAGGTTAATAAATAAACAAATAAAATGAATAAATAGTATGAAATAACATAGTGGCTAGTTTTCTCTCCATGGTCTTTTCTTTTTCTTCTGTCTTCTGCTTGAAAAGACAATTTACCCAGTGTTATTCATGTTAACTTGATAATACCTTTGCCAAAGAAGATGACTGTCCATAACAATTGAAAAGGGGTTTGCCTTCTAGAGTCTTGTGAGATTAGATTTCAGAGACTTGTGTGTGAAAATATTTTATCAACTTCTAATCCTGCATCAATGGTATGCCATAAATCAGGGCTTGGCATCCTCCTATTTTCAAAGTAGTAAGCACTCTAGAAAGCCCAGAGTATGAAAGAAATGCTTTTCCTTTTAAAGAGTATTCTCAGAACATTCTTTTGGCAATGGCAAAGGAAAATAAAATTAATAATGATATTTTTAAAGGATGGAAGCTGAATGTGTTTGACTTGGAACACATCATCCTAGGATTCTCAGAATGAGATAGAATTGCTGATTTTTTTTCTTTCTCCATTAAGAAAAGCGACTTAATATATTTGTTTCTTTTTGCTTGCTGTCCAAATTGTTAAGGTGTTTTATTCCTCCCAGCCCCCTGAAGTCAGGCCAAACGTTGGCACAGAAGATTTCTTTTTGGTCTGATTTTTATCTAAATCAGTTTCTTTTCTAGTAAAAGATAACCCCTCCACCCAATAAAACAAGAATGCTCTTCCATACATTGCAGTGTGTGTTGAAATGATGGCCTCTAGACAAATGGAGGGCAATAGTTCCTGCAGTTGGCTAGAGGGAGTGGTGGAAAATCCTCCCGTACTTGGTGCTTTCCATGATTTGCCTGCTTGGGAATCGATTTCTTGTACGTGGTCATTTTATATAAAGGCTGGGGGAATGTGGTGTGGGGGGCTTGTAGACATGCTGCTAAGGGGAGAGGGGGGTATGAATGGAGTTAGAGTATGCTTCCCACTGGCTTTAGAGTGGCATTTTGATCCCTGGGCCTCTGTTTTCAGATCAGACTCCGACCCCAACGAGATTCCTGAAGAACTGCGAGGAGGTGGGCCTCTTCAGTGAACTGGACTGTTCCTTCCAGCATGAGTTCAGGAAAGCTCAGGAAGAGGAAAGCAGCAAGCGGGTAGGTTTGTGCAGAAGGACATTTGAACCAGTGTCTCCTGAACACTGAAAACTTCCACACATGGTGTGGCATGGAAGATTGCCTTGAGTATTTCATTGAATTAATTAGTTAATTTTGTGATGCTGGCAATCGAACCCAGAGCAGTGTACATGTTAGGCAAACCCTCTACCACTGAGCAACATTCTTAGCTCTCCACCATTTTTTTTTAAAGTGGCAAGGTGACTAGTTTAATAGTGAGAAAGAAAATACACCATTAAGCGAAAAGGTGGGCTCTGACTAGATGGCTTAAGAGCCATGGAGGGTGGGGGGAGGGAGAGATTTTCCTGCTTCCCAGGCAGAAAATGGGAGTTAAAAACTCAAAAATGGCAGCTGTTATTCAACAACGGCAGCTGTTATTTATTGCCTGTACTTTTTTTTCTGAGTTGGGGGAATGTACATGCTAGCCCTTCTAATTTTACTTTATTCTATAGGGTATTTTTGTTTGTTTGTTTGCTCTCACTATTCTAGGCAGACCTAGAATTCAAGATCCTCCTCTCTCCACCTCTTGAGTGCTGGGATTATAGGTGTGCAACACCATGCTGACTGAAATAATATTTTATCTATTTGTGAATGTTCACCTAGTGTTTTCTAGAAAATGATGATTCCCTGATTGTAATAGCACCCAACGCTTGGATAAGTCATGGTGGAAATAGTATTTGAAGCATGAAATCCTAGCTCGTCCCTCAAAAAGTTATCTGATTCTTAAAGCTGTGTCAGAAAAGTTCATTGATTATTTCTATTCCCAACCAGTTGTTTACCTTTGCTAACTATTTAGCAGTAAGCCTTACCGGAGTGGGGGGTACAGGAGACAAGAGTCAGAGGTGAGGGAACAGGCAAGTATCATTGAGTAGGAGAGGGGCTTTCCTCTGATTCTGACTCAGGTTTTAAGTGTCTGTTTTCCATAATCTTTCCGGGCTGTTCTCTGCCAGACACATAATTACTTCCTGTTCACCTGTTCATATTACCTGGGAAGATTGTTGAACATCTGTTGTTGGTAAGACAAATGAATTAGCTACTAGGGAGGATCATTTATTCTTATAAATGTAAGAAATTTGCTTTGTGAAATGCTTGAGAATATATTCAGGATTTTTTTTTTTTGTCAGCATGTTGGATTGGAATTTTAACATTAGTTTACGGAATTGAAGAAAGGAGATGGGGCTCAAACTAATTGGGGCAAAGATGCTTTTTATTATCTTTCTTCTCCTTTGCCTGAATGCCCACAGTGTGCTAAACAAATTAGATACAGTCCATGAACGGAAACTTCAAATGTAAAAGATGATTGAAAAGAAGGTCGAGCTATGTAGGAATGGATTCGGAAGCTCCAGCTGTTCCATCCGGAGAAAAAATTTTAAAAGGATCTGCTATTTCCCCAAGTGTTTCAAAGTCTTTGAGTCTTTATCTACATGAAATTACAGTAATCCTCGACTGCCAGATTTTTCTTGTCACATTCTCACATGCTGATAGTCTGAGGCTTCTGTCATATTCAATCTCTGTTGCTTTAGGGTAAAAAAAATTGCAAAAGGTAGAGGACCCTTACAACAGACGTTCAAAATCTAAGTCAACTTACTTTATTTATTTGTGAATAATTTCTCATTTATATATGACCTTCCTTCTCACCCTGAAAAATGATGTGTAGTGCCTTTTCCCCTTGTAAAGAAACACTTGTATAGATAGCAATCAATCTTTGGCAGACTAATAAGGAAGTTTTGAGCACTTAAAAATTAGCTTAATAAAAATAAAAGATGCAATTCTATATTTCATTTGAATGAGAATAGACTTAAAAATCCATGAAAATAGGCAAAAGGGCAGGATGTTTTATCTAGAAATTTTACTCTTGTTGAGAGATAAATTTAATTCTCTGGGTAGATTTGCATATGTAGATGAATGAAGGATCAAGTTCATTCATTTCCTGAAACCAATTTGGTTTCTTAAACTGACGTAGATGTGTATGTGGTCCACGTTGTCTTCATTTCTAATAGAATAGTCTTGAGTGTATGCCCTTGATTTTCCTAAAGACATTTTACCAAGAACAGTTTCAGGAAGCCCGTAGTAGGAGTGTGGGTTTAAATCTTCTCTATCTCATTATTCATGGTTTCTTATATGAAGCCCCTGTGAGGAATTCTTGCAAATCTGAATTCCAGGAAATGGCTTGCTTCCCTTGAGGATCTGAAATATTTTCTCCTCATGACCATGAGAATCATGTAACTGGTTCTGTTTCTCTCTTCACTTTGACTGCTAGGTTAACAAAAATCCAAGTTTACCACTTAACTTTGAGAAGCTTTTTTGAATACGATGTTGAGCAATATTTTACTTCCTTCATGTGTTAGACTTTCAGTTCTAGTTTATATTTATCTGCTCCTTTTATTTTCCAAACAATTTTCATGTTATGTGTGTTTCACGAGTTGCTTTAGATTCCTTGTGGGTTGAGAAGTGCAATCATTAAATTAAAAAAAATTAAAATAATGAGCCAAGCCACATTGAAAACATGGACTCTTGAAGTTGTATCACCATATGCTCTCACTATTTTAAATGGCACTCATAGTCATGAGATGATTTTAGGGCAAATCTGTGGGTGGGGGTGCCTGCAGCTAGCCTCCCCTGGGGATGTAACCTGGCCTCAGGATACCACAGTCTCATTCTCAAGCTCATATCCTCTGTGAGCTGAGGCTTGCTCTTCCTCTGACTTGCTTAAACCAGAGGGGCCAAATCCAGCCATTGCTACATGAGGGGATGTCTTCTTAAGGCCTAGAGCACAGTGACTCATCCAGTAGCACAGTCCCTTGTGTTGGTGGCTTCCTCCCTAGCAATTCTTCATAAGCCACAGAGCAAGATGATGATGAACAGAAGCAATTTTCCCCAATCTGACAGTATCCTTTAACCCACCTCCTAGGCATTCTCCATCTGCCATTTCTGTGGTGCATTGCCACCCAAGCTTCTAATTTTTTTTTACTGCATTAAAAAAAGACACAAAGGCCGGTTGCCAATAGCTCATACCTATAATCTTAGTCACTCAGTAGGCTGAGATCGGAGGATCATAGTTCAAAGTCATAGCAGAACAGTCTGAGACTCTTGACTCTTTTCTCTAATTAACCAGCAAAAGGTTGAAAGTGTAAACATGGCTCAAGTAATAGGGCATAACCTTGAGTGATAAAGCTTAAGAATGTCCAGGACCTGAATTCGAGCCCCATACTGGAACAAACAAGGAAGGACAGAAGGAAGAAAGAAAAGGAAGGAAGGAAGGAAGGAAGGGAGGGAGGGAGGGAGGGAGGGAGGGAGGGAGGAAGGAAGGAAGGGGGGAAAGAAGGAAGGGAGGGAGGGAGGGAGGAAGGAAGGAAGGGGGGAAGGAAGGAAGGAAGCAAGGAAGGAAGGAAGGAAGGAAGGAAGGAAGGAAGAGAGGGAGGGAGGGAGGGGGGAGGGAGGGAAAGAGAAAGAAAGTAAAGTCCCTATACAATGTATACCTTTTATCCTGGAAAGTTCTCCTCTCCTTTCCTTTTGTTTCACATTAAGGTGATTATTTCCTTTTAATTGTTACCTCTAACTCTTCTGATTTTTTTGTTTCTGAGTCTTTTAATAAAAGTCTTGCATTGGTTCATCGGCAAATTTTCATAAAGTGGAAGATACATTATATCTTTTTCTGGAAGATTTGTTAACAGTAGCTTGTTATGAACTTTCTAAGTATTTTTATACAACAACATTGGGAAGATTCGGCAGGCCCTATTCTCTACCTTTTCATTTCTAGGTGCTGTTTAGCCCACACAATTTTGTGAAAGAGGAGACAGAATTAATCCTTGCTTTGTCCATGTGGCTGATCATTGGAGACAATTCTGTTCTGTTCTACACAGGCCACCTGTAAGCCCTGATAACTCTTTTCTGAAAGCACTTCAATGTATAGAATGACAGGCTATAGCAAGTCATATCTAATGTCAAAAGGTTGCCATATGTATCAAAATAACATATTATATTATATTATGTATAGTACATACAATATATAATATATAGTATATTATATATAATATAACATATATAATATAATATATATGATATATATTATGTAGCATATTATATTACATCATTTCCTTAACGTTTTTCCTTTTCCTTTTTTATTTTTCATCTTCATATGGTTGTACAAAGGAATTGCCATTCAACAAAGTAGTGTATGAATGCAACGAATCTTAATCAGTGTTACCTCTTCCGCCATTCTTTCTCATCTTTCCCAACTCTTGTCTCAGTTTTCTTAATATTGTAGCTTATGAATTGAATTTTATATAACTACATTGCCCTCTTCCTCTCTTTATTTTCCTGCTCTGCTCCTTGATCTCAGACATCTTTTCCTCCAATTTTAAATACTCAGTTACTGGTTTTTACTTTGCTAGTAAGTTAGCCTTTAAGCTCATAGCCTCATAACTCTCAATAAGAAAATTCTAATCATATGAAATAATATTTATCAAAATGAACTTCAGGAAATGGAAACAAGAAGGACTTTGGTTGCTGTTTTTGTTTTCTTTTCCCTTTGTTTTGTTTGTGCTTTTATCTAACTTTGGCAGGGCAAGGGTGGGCACAGAAATGGTGGGACAAAGGGTGAACAAATGCAGCAGTGGACACTGTGTTGAAAATGAGCTATATAACTTGGTGGGGATGGGAGGGAAAAACTGGGAGAAAGCGAGGGAAGGGGTGGCATTGTTAAAAAAGAAATGTAGGGCTAGGAATGTGGCTTAGTGGTAGAGTGCTTGCCTAGCATGCATGAAGCCCTGGGTTCGATTCCTCAGTATCACATAACCAGAAAAAGCTGGAAGTGGCACTGTGGCTCAAGTGGTAGAGTGCTAGCCTTGAGCAAAAGAAGCTCAGGGACAGTGACTAAACCCTGACTTCAGGGCCCAGGACTGGCAAAAAAAATGTAGATGGGCACTGGTGGCTCAGGTCTGTAATCTTAGCTACTCAGGAGGCTGAGATCTGAGCATTGA